GCCTTCTATATGTGTTGTACTCATGCCACATCTCTTTTCTACAACTCTTCCTTAATTGGATGACAACGACTCCTCTGATCATTCTACTCCGTAGATAGTACAGATATAGGTACGGTAGTTTCAATATCGTTCTGATTTCCTATTTCATCCGGTGAGGACTTCGAGTTGCCCTTGCATACAACAAGGATGCCATGTGGAAGGTAATTGGTCCGAGCTGGACTCCGTGCGGCTACACCTTAGGTTAAGTAAGGTGTTCACGTGATGTAGTCCCAGCCTGAGACCTAGCCGCTGCCAATCAGAAGCAGTGGAAATGAGGGGCGGCGTGCTCCCAAGGTCCTCACGGCGGGACGAAAACTCTTCGATGTTGACGTCTGTTCGCTCGTTACCTAAAAGGTTTGCGGAACCGCTTTCTCCCAAGGTCCCCATCAAAGACCACTCCCACTAATGAGACAGATGATTCAGAGTGATGTGGGAGATATACTGTCACCATGGACCTCTTTCCAACCATCAATTCTCACCACTTCCTCGACGAGCCTATCCCCATCTCACAGGATCCTTATCTGTCGTGGTAAATTTGGTAATCGGGAACGAGTGTCCATCATCGGATATCTCATCTCCCATACGGACGATTCATCGGGGATCGCGGAATCCCTAATTGCCTGCTGGGTCTGTTGCTGTGCCACCAAGGTCCTCGACTGCGGATTCAAAATCCCTGCTGCCGTCTTGACTGTCAGCGAATACACGACGGTCAATCCTCTGACCTCGCTATTGATCACTGGCTAAGCAGGCTTAGTACTCAGTCTAAAGTGAATACTCTAGGGACCTTGAGGATTGCGATTAAAAGTCTCCGACCTGTTGCCAGCTTGATCCATTGCGGTGCAAATATAAGAGTCGCGGCCAAGCCTTCAAGGAAGGACAAGATCACTTGTTCTCTACTCATCCGAGCTTGTTTCCACGTGTTTCTTGCTTCGTGGAATCCCTTGTCCAACCTCTGCCTTGATTTGATTGGGCTTTCGCCTGTGTCGATCCCTTGAGCGATCTGATCTGTGCACCTTTCTCGTCCATCCCACTCATTCATAGCTCGGAAGTGGTCCGTGCTGTTTGAAGTCGCTCTGTGATACCTGTCTATACCTCCAGTGGCTCTGTCGATTCGCCTTCTAGGTCGCAGAAAAAACCATCATGCAAGGCCTTCACACTCTTCTGGTGCGCGACCCGGCGACGGGTGCCACACCTTCTTGCGATACCGGAAACGAGTATGACGGGCGCATGGGCTTGCGTATATCGTCCATCTTCGTGATTATGGTCGGCTCGATGCTGGGTTCTGTGTTTCCAGTCTTTGCACGGAATTTTGGCACCTCTAAGTTTCTCAGACGAGCATTTTTCGTTGCGAAGTACTTTGGTTCGGGTGTCATTATTGCTACCGCCTTCATCCATCTTTTGTCACCAGCACACGATGCATTGACCAATCCGTGTCTCACTGGTCCGATTACCGAATACTCCTGGGTCGAAGGTATCGTCCTCATGACCATTGTTGTGCTGTTCTTCGTTGAGTTGATGGTGATGCGGTACGCGCGCTTTGGTCATGACCACTTTGGTGATTTGGGACACGACGATCATGCGCATCAATCTCTTGATTCTCCGCCCGCAACCGTCGACCCCAAAAGCCACATGCCCGGAGAGGATCATCTCGGTCACTCCCGAGAGCATCGCGACGCCGAGCTGGGTGAAAAGATCTCCTCAACCGAGGACTATGCCGCTCAGTTGACATCGATTTTCATACTTGAGTTTGGTATCATCTTCCATTCAATCTTCATTGGCCTGACCTTGGCGGTATCCGGAGAAGAATTTATCACGCTCTACATTGTCTTGGTCTTCCACCAAACATTCGAAGGTCTGGGTCTGGGTTCCCGCCTGGCAACGACCCCTTGGCCCCGCTCAAAACGCTTTACTCCGTACATACTCGGATTCGCATACGGCATCTCTACGCCTCTTGCCATCGCCATCGGACTGGGGGTCCGTAAAAGCTATCCCCCCGAAGGCTACACTACTCTTATTGTCAACGGAGTTTTTGACTCCATTTCTGCCGGTATCCTCATCTACACGGCTCTTGTGGAGCTCATGGCTCATGAGTTCATGTTCAGTCCATCGATGCGCAAGGCACCGATCCGAACTGTTCTTGCAGCGTTTGGTCTATTATGTCTGGGTGCGCTGCTGATGGCTTTGCTTGGGAAATGGGCTTAATCTCGCTCTGGCTGCATGACTGTCAACGATATCGGCTCTGTGTATATGTATATAGATCATGACCATAAATCTAGTTTGCTTCAAGTTCACCTACTTGGCCGGATTACTCGTAGAGAAGTAGCGGCTTTCTATCTCTACTTAATATAAATATTTGGTCAACATGTCAGACTGTAGAGGAGACCGCAAAGTCACATCATCAAACATGCTGCATGGGTGATACGTTTGAGTCGTCGACGGAGCGCCGCATACTAAGCAAACTCCGGCAGATCGCCATCTAACCATGTTGCCTCCATTTGGAGCACCTCACGCCCAACAACAGCCGACCCAACCATAGCAACGCTCCAATTACTCTACATCCCAGTATCTTCCTGAGTCAATTTCAATTCCTCCATTCGAATCATCTATAATATTCAAAATGCGCATTCCTCTTATCTCCGCCCTCCTCTCCCTCACCACCCTCGCCCTCTCCGCCGACCTCGGCATCGAGAAAACGCACGAGGTCGAATGCAACCGCAAGACCACAAAGGGCGATACAGTCCACATGCACTATCGGGGCACGCTCGCGGCGGATGGTTCTGAGTTCGACTCGAGCTATGGTCGCAACCAGCCGTTGAAGTTCAATCTTGGTGCGGGGCGGGTCATTAAGGGGTGAGTCTTCTTACTCCTGGTTTCCGGGACCTTGTTTCAGGGGAGCAGTGGCTGACACATGGGTTTATTCTATTCTCTAGATGGGATGAAGGGCTTTTGGATATGTGTGTGGGAGAGAAGCGGACGCTGACGATCCCGCCTGAGTATGGGTATGGAGACCGCGGAATCGGGCCTATTCCTGGGGGCGCGACGTTGATTTTTGAGACGGAGTTGGTGAAGATTGAAGGGGTTAACAATGATGAGCTGTAGGCTGTTGGATTATTGAAGGCTGTAAAGATACGGCAGTGTTTCCCTAGGCTTGAGGAATGCTGCAGGTTGTCATATAGGTTGATGGTCACGATGCGGACTTCTCTATGGGTATCTAGTTGTGCAAATAAACATGGTCTACATCCAGGGCCCAAGTCTATACAAGTACCTTACTCCGCAAAATCCGCATGAAGAAATCAGTCCATCGCATCGAGACTGCTCTCGTTCGCATTCGCCTCGTTCTCCGATACGAGAATGCCCACTAGGCACTCCCCAAGGATCGCATCCCAGTTCACCCACGGGTGGATCTCCATGAACAGTTTCCCTGAGTCTTTGCCTGCACCCCGAAGCAGCTCTCCCTTGCCGCCGGGATGGAAAGGAAGGTATGGAGTGATATTGTAGACCTTGCCTTGGTAGGAAGTCCACGCATCGCAACCCTTGCGGCCATTTTGCGCCTTCAGCATGGACGGTGACACTCTGATGAGAGTCGGGGGTAGGTTCGCGCCCCGCAGATTATGGTTCGGCTTCGCTGTGAGCGCGGCCCAATCGAGCGGCGAGTATCCTGGTTCCAAAATTGCCTTCTTCGCTGTAGTCGACGGTTTCAGCGTGAGTTGTGTAGGCGCAAGCGAGTTGTTGCTTGCGGGGCGGCTGCCTGGTGGCACGCGCAGAGAGGCAGCAGCAGATGGTGGCGGACGAAGTGCGCTGCCTGCCATGGGACGTGGGAGGTATCGCCCGGGGCTTAGCGATGAGGTTGGTTGAGGCTGCTGGTTCTGTAGCGTCGACGGTCGTAGACGTGGAGGGGGAGGGGGAGGCATCAAGGAGGAGGTGCAGGATCCGGCCTGGCGCGGAGATACCACGGGAATCGGGTTTATTCCACTTGATGTGATAGATTCAGAATCTAGTGGCGATTTGGTAGAGCCATTGCGTGTTTGCTGCTCATTGTCCCGCTTACTGGGACCCGCTGCCTTGTCACTGTGGTCGCTGGTAAGGTGCAGTGTCGGGACATCGAGAACCGACGCCTTCGTCGCTGACGCTTTTGGTGTGGTTTGAGGATCATCCGCATCTTCATTCTCGTTCTTTGGTGCCTTCAATTCATTTCTCCGCAAATTATTATTCTTCGAAGGAAGGTTGGTTGTCTCGGCTTCATCGGAGGTTGATGCCGGCGGCTGAGGCGAAGGGGCAGGAGGGAGCTCTTGAGTCCACGATGCAGGCGGGTATCGATAAAACAAATAGCATGCAGTCGCAAGAAGCGTCACTACTCCGACCCAGCCCATACCGGAGCACCGAGGTCTAGAATAGTCTGTAGAAAGCGATGAAAGAGGGTACCTGAGGATCGGAGGGGAGCAAAGGCAAAAAATGATGACAGAAAGAAGTGGCTCGAGCTCACAACCCGGCGTGGAATTATGGTATGGATAGACACAACCGTACAGTACTCCGTACCTACCTCCACTTATTTCGAAGATATATACTATGCACCTTACTTGATCCCCTGAAGACGGTCTTCATAGCCAATTACTGACTATCACACGATTCACTGTCTCATCATGCTCATCCGCAGAGGACAATTTTCAACTTCTCATGGAAAGTTCATGAGTGTACCAGAACCAGTCGAGCGGGCTATCGTGCTACGCTCGATCCACGGATGAGGACCTGCGGTGGCCATGCATGGATGAGCACAATATGATGGCTAAGCAAACAGCTGTGGTTGATCTCAAGGCGTCATGGTGTCCAGGCGCCACCACCTGGTCAGGCGATCTTCGAACCATTGGCAGCGTTGACTCTCCTGGATGATAACCACGAGTATCTGTCTGAAGTGATATGTTGACCGGTTATTATCTATTGGCAAAAGTTGTTTCAGATACCAAATGTTTCGCAATACTATCTTGTCTACCTCAGATGCGCTTCTGTTGTTCGATGCAGGAGCAGGCCAAGTGAGAAACCCTTTCTATTTTCTAATTCAACCAGACGTACAGCTTTGTTCTTTGACTAATCCAACTGCAGGTCCAAGGGGGTAGACCTTTTCAGGAGGATCGTTGCACATTCGTTCTGCCAGATCAGTTTCCTTCCCAGACAAACGATAAGCTCACGTACTTTGCGGTCTACGACGGGCAGTAAGGGCTTTGTCAAGTTAGCGTCTGAGAGGACATAGGCTGACCTTGATATTTAGTGGCTCCGAGCTAGTCTCCGATCATGCCAGCCGGAACCTGCACTTGTTACTCGCTAAGCGTCCTGAGTTCGCCCAAGGCGACTATGAAGCAGCCATAAGAGGGGCATTGATCGATGAAGATGCTGTTTTGCTGGATACCTTCAACAATCTAACCACCGAGCCTGCCGTCTCCGGTTCCACTGTCGCGCTTTGCTTCGTCAACCTCACCAAGGGCGACCTTGTTGTAGCCAACCTCGGAGACTCCCACGTCATCCTAGCCGAACGCAACAACCGAACCGACCACCCATCCCAAATCGTAAGTGAGGAGGGTTTGCTGGTTCCCAAGCGATTTTGGCTGATTTATGCGCTAGCGACGGCTTTCAAAGTCTCATAAACCGGATACACCCGATGAGAAGGCTCGAATTGAAGATGCTGGCGGCGCTGTCAACACGAGAAGAGGGACTGCTCGCCTAGGTGCGTATGGTTATGCAAAAAGCTCAAAGCTTACATCAACTTCCTGACCTTTGCCATCTCAACTCATCCTAGGCAGTCTGAACATGTCACGAGCGCTGGGAGATCTTCAGTATAAGAACCCAATCAACAATGCCGGTGACGAATATGCATCCTCAAAGACCCGACGGGCGTCCTCTAGTTCATCAGCACCAGAGACCCGAGGTAATTTTCTGTCTGTGGAACCTCACATGACCCGGATGACGCTTTCGCCAGACCGACGTTATCTCGTGGTGGTCACATCCGACGGCGTTAGTGATAACATTGACGATGCAACCTTGATCCATCATGTGATGAGATTATCCATGCGCGGGATGAGAGCTGGCGACATAGCTCAAGAAATTGCGACTACTGCTGCAGCTCAAACAACAAAGGGGGGGAGCGATAACGCGTCCTGTATCGTGGCTCTATTGGACGGTCAAAACACCTAGAACCAAGGCAGAGCAAACGGGGGGAACTTTCAGAAGAACAAAGCAGGTAACATGACCCTGTAATATCTGTCGGAGAAGTGTATGCAATTAATGAGATTATACATGCACTACAGGTGATAAATTCTGGATATCTTGGACATGGGCTGGAGGTGGATTGCATTTTCAAAAGCGGCTAAAATGTACATAGAGCATCCGGATTAGATTGATAGATCTGGAATACGGAGTCCCTCATTTCAAATTAAGAGATCTAACAGAAATAGAAGTCATATGAAACTCACTATCCTGTGGCGTCAATCTATAAAGCAGATTCGGAGTATTAACCACATAGTCCGTAGTTCTAATGATGATAAGTGCCGTTAGGGAAGGATGCTCAAGACTCTATCCCCAAAAGAGAAGGTGCTTTTCTCCAGTCAACAAGCATCACACTAGACGATTATAATAATAGTCACGCTAAAATACACTGGCTGTGACTCCGTCACACCCACAACCAGTCCTCAGTATGCAGAATAACTTTAGTCACGGATGACTAGAGAACCCCTGCTCGATCAAGAGCCCGACCTGAAACTGATCTCTTCATCCGTCCATGCGTCAACTGTCAAATTCTCAGTGGAACAATTGTAAATACTTCGATGGACTGGTATGGAGGGGTTCTGAATACAACGAAATCGTCCCCCCTGATTGGACCCCTTCCTACGGCAGCTCCCCAAGTTCTGTTCTCCATGGAGGTCCACCGATCCAGGGTTGTGTGGACGAAGAGCTCCATCACCTTCCTCTCTGGTATAGATTCCGGTTCGCTTTAGTTAAGCCCTGTCATATCATTATCATAGTTCCCTGCTATCAGATACCACCTGCCTATCCAGTCTACTAATGTCTCATCCTTATTCTCTAGTTAGGACAATTTGCCGCTATATTTGACACTCTGACACTCCTTCTGAGTGGGGTCTCCCGATTGGTTAATGATATCGAATTCATCATAGATCTGCCATTCTTTCTTAGAAGGCTAAAAGTGAAAATGACTTCCACGTCATGATTCAGTTGCTTCTGTTCTAGGAAGTTCGTCTGACTTGATCTCCTCTTTTCTTTTTCGTGCTCTTGCTGGTGCGAGAACCCGTACTGTTAAGGTTCTATCATTCTTCTCCGGTGTCGGGATCCCCCTTTTGGCCCAGCGCTTACCGTCCAGGACAACACCATGAATTCAGCACCGGCATGCCGGATGTGCCATATTGGGCGCGACAGCGGACATGCGCGATGGTCGAGGAAGATCCCACCTGCGTTAGTTATTTCGTCAGGGGAGGTCGTCACGTTTGATACCATTGACAGCAGTAATGGGCGGATTGAGATGACTTCTGACGCATCAGCAATAAGCTCATTGGATATAGATGCGGCAAATCCTGTCTTTGGTCCAGTTTATATTCAAGGTGCGCAACCGGGCGATACATTGAAAATCGAAGTCATCTCTTTGGAGACCGCGGACTGGGGTTGGACAGCTACTATTCCTGGATTCGGACTTCTAGCAGATGAGTTTCCGGATCCTTCGCTTCATATCTGGAAAATCAATAAGGAAAAAGGCTACGTTCTTTTTAAGAATAATATACGGATTCCCTTGCGCCCATTCCTGGGCTGTATCGGCCTGGCACCAGCAACGAACGAAGACTTGTCTACGGTTCCTCCGACCAACGCCGGAGGTAATCTGGACTGCCGTGACTTGACCGTCGGGTCTACCCTCTACCTGCCCGTGCAGACAGATGGGGCTCTATTTAGCTGTGGTGATGGCCACGCTGCTCAGGGTCATGGAGAAGTATGCGGAACCGCAATCGAGACCTCAATCAAGGCTACACTTCGATTCGAACTGTGCAAGGACATGCCGTGGGTGACAAGTCCACAATACGAGACCTCCTTCAGCACTGTGCCGACAACTACAATGCCTGTATCTGGCAGATACGCAACAACCGGTGTCGGCCAAACGCTTCACGAGGCCTCCAAAACAGCGGTCCGGAACACCATTCAATGGATGGTGGCCACTAAGGGGTTAACTCGTTGTGAGGCATACATGATAGCGAGTGTGGCCGGCGATCTACAGATCATCGAGGCGGTAAACATGCCTAACTTCGTGGTGGCAATGACAATTCCGTTGGACATTTTTGGCCCAAGTCAGTGAACCTTCAGCCATATTCATGCCATCCAGCTGCACACGTTGATTGACCGAAGTATTCTTCGAGAACCAGAAGTTACAGAGACCAATCATTAGAAGTTTCTTAGTCTTATGAACGCGGAATATTTTCTTCTTGCTTTGGTTCATGCGCCCCATTCCATGTCCTTCCAATTTCATGATACCCACTTTCTTCGCGAAGGAAGATACTTCTACTGATACGTTTCCACGAGTGTTATTAAGATCCCATCAATTATTTAATCATACTTCTGAAATGCCACTCGTAGAGCGTAGAGCCAAGTACTAGTACGACTCCCAGGTTCGCTATTCTGCACATAGTTGGTCACATGATTTCGTGTCGCAGCGTGTTGAGGCTTGTCGCGGGTGAAGCGCATGTAACTCTAAACAACAGCAATCTATGTATCTGGACCACATGGATTCCACATTGGAAGGCCTGAACACCGCTCAAAAAGCCGCAGTAACTTCACCTGCTTCCATCTTGCAAGTTCTCGCTCCTCCGGGCTCAGGAAAGACGAAGACATTGACCGCGCGTGTCGCGTATCTCCTATCTCATTATGGATACCAACCGCAGGATGTCATCTGCTGCACGTTCACCATCAAAGCGAGTCGTGAGATGCGAGAACGGCTCGCGAAGCTGGTAGGCGATGAAGTACAACATAAACTGATTCTTGGAACTTTCCACTCAATATGCCGTCGGTACCTGGTAAGCTATGGTTATCTGATCGGGCTGCGGAGAGGTTTCGGCATCGCAGACTCCAGCGATAGCTTGGCGATTATCAAAGTAGGCATCACTTGTTGACACCGTGAATACACTCTAGTCATCTGTTGCTAAACAATGCTATCGGCAGAGGATAGTGAAACGTTTACGGTGCAGTATTCAGCCAAACACTGCTCGAGCGCGCATATCTCACCAGAAGGCTCACGGCGTCAGCCCGGATGAGATCGCAGTGAAGTATTCCAGAGGTCCAAAGTCCACGGAGCATCAAGAATTTGTCCAAATTTATCGCGAGTACGAGAGTTACCTGGCGACGTCCAATTTGCTCGACTATGACGACCTTCTTCTCCGATGCGCCGATTTGCTGAAAAGACATCCAAAATGCGTCTCGAACGTCCAGGCAGTCCTAGTCGATGAGTTTCAAGACACCAACCATATTCAGTACGAGTTGATGAATTTATTTGCAGCGAGAAATGGCCGAATCACAGTCGTGGGAGACCCGGACCAAAGCATTTATGGATTTAGGTCGGCGGAGATCAAGAACCTCGGGCGGATGCAACAGCATTACAAAAACGCATCGGTGATACTACTAGAAGACAACTATCGCTCATCTGGCTCTATTTTAAGGTCGGCGCAGGACGTCATTGAGCAGGACTTATCTAGGCCAGTCAAGAAGCTGCAGCCGACTCATTGCCCGGGAACAATGCCTGTGCTGCGCAAGCTGCCAACTGCGGAGGCCGAGGCTCAATGGATCGTGCTTGAGATCAAACGATCCATTGCCCTGACAGGCAAATTGCTTAACTACTCGGATTTTGCGATCCTGCTCAGATCAGCTTCTCTTTCGCGACATATCGAATCTGAGATGGGAAAGCAAGGCGTACCGTACAGGATGGTTGGTGGTCTGCGCTTCTTCGACAGAGTCGAGATTAAGGTGCTATTGGACTACCTGAGAGTCATAAGCAATCCAGGGAACAGCGATGCGCTCCTGCGCATCATTAACGTACCATCACGAAAGATCGGCGAGGAGTCTGTGAAGACGTTGATGAAGGGTGCAGACGCCGCAAAGATTCCTTTGTGGAATTTTATCAAAGATGTAGCGCAAGGTCGCAGGTCGACCGACAAAATCCTGTCCAAACTTACTGACCAAGGCCTTTGCACTCTGGTTGGGATCGTTGAATCATCCAGGCAGAAACTTCTTGAATGTACTGACAGCTCCGCCCCTCGCAAGCTTCTAGAGTTTGTGATCAAGAAACTCAATTTCCGAGAATATCTTACAGCAACTTACTCTCAGAATGAGGAAAACCGATGGGCGAACGTGGAAGAGCTCCTGGCCCAGGCAGGTGACTCGGCTGCGGCTGCAGCTGAAAAGGATCAGGATGATAGTCTGCCTGAAATTCAGGGGCTTTCCCAACAGCAGGCCCATCAGGGTGAAGAAGCATTATCGCAATTCCTGGCAAACGTGGCGTTATCAACCGAGGTCCTCTCTGAAGATGGCGATCAACCCCAAGAAAAAGTGACCATTTCCACCATCCATGCAGCGAAGGGCCTCGAATGGCCTGTGGTTTTTGTGCCAGCCGTGTACAATGGCATTATCCCCCACTCGCGCGCAGAGGACTCGGACGAAGAGAGACGGTTGCTTTATGTTGCCATGACAAGAGCGCAGGCGCTGTTATATCTCAGTTATCCGCTGAAGCAATCTCGCAACGAAGAAGCGACGACAACCGTGACGAGTTTCCTTCCGCCCAAGATCACCGAAAGTCGCTTTCGACCACTCGGGCCTAACCTGCAAGAGAAGGTCGTCTATGGAATTGCTGACATCCTGCGGCGACCCCGACCCTCTCCTGAGAGCATACTTGCGGCGTACGACTCAGTTCCTTCGTTGCGAGATGATCAGTGGACGGCCGATGGCAAAGAAGCCCCTGATGCTGTAGTTAAGTGGGATGGCTCGAGGGCTTGGGGCGAAGAGCCCGACCCCAAGAGGCGGCGTTACAATCCAAATCCGTCGTCTTCTTCCACCACGACCTATCTGTCATCCTCTACGTACACCGTTAACAATGCGCAGTCCTCCGCGCCCACAACCATGTCGCTCGGCTTCTCAACGGCGCGAGAATACAT